CATTCATCTGGGACCAATGAGCTACCAAAGCATGTTCTTTTCACAGTGATGGCAGAAGCAGAAGAATAAACCCAATTGCTCAAACCTACTTCAGGCCTTTGCTCTCACATCATGTCCACAACATTCCATTGGTCATAGCAAGTCAGATGGCCAAGCCCAACCAACATCAGTGGAGCAGGGAAATGCAGTCTTTAATGACAAGAGGAGAGGAATGAATATGTGCCGAATTAAGTCCAAACTGTCACAGCACATCTATTCAACATTGTGCTGGAGATCCTAGCTAGTACAGTAAGACAAATGCAAAGAAAGAAATGAAAGTTATTGTTCACAAATGGTATGAATATGTACATAGAAAACCCCAAAGAATTGGCATATAAATTAAATAAGACTTTTACAGAGTTATTAATAAAGTCAATGTAAAAATCCCAATTACATTTCTATATACTGGCAAAAGACAGTTAGAAAATAAAGCTGAAAAAATCCGTAACAGCATTTAAAAATATCTAGTACCTAGGAATAAACATAACAAAAGATTTGTCACATAACTATGAAGATTAAACAATGCTATTGAAATACATTTTTAACAAGTATAAATGGAGATACATAACATATTCTTGGATGGAAAACTGTTTTCACATTGATCTTACAGATTTAATGCAATGTATAGATTCAAAGCATTTATTTTTCTCACTCATGGTCTGTTTCTAGAGGAGAATGATCAGCATCGAACTGCTCTGCGGGTCTCCAGAGTCTCCTTAAATCGGCAGCTACTCAGGGTGTATTACACTCATGGCAAATCATGGGAATGCTAGTGGGCAAGCCGACTGTACAAACATTTAAATTCTCTGCTCCTGTCCCTTCTGCTTATACAACTGGCTAAAGCAAGTTACGTAACCAAACCCAAAGACAAGTATTGGGAAAGTATAGCTTACTTCAAGGTGGAGGGTAGAAGTGAATATTGAACAATAATTCAATCTGTTGAGGCTGACAATCCCTCTGAAATGTCCATAGTTTAAAATTTAATAGTGGCCAAAAATTAATGATCTGTTAGTTAAACTTTTGTTTGTTGATAGCTGTTAACTTCCTACCCAGTAACCCTTGTTCCCATAATATAAATTGCTGATACCCGGTTTTCCGTCAAGCAGGATGAGATGACCCAAAGAAAATTTATGAGTTTGTTTTGCAGAAAAAAAACTGAATGCTCTTAAAGAAATTGCAACCACTGGAGGACCCAGCCCCAGCTGCCACTATTACCAAGGAGCCTGGTCGCCTAAGATTTTACCTTGAATCCGAGAAAATATAGACCTTCCCTTAACTTCACCGAGACTCACCTTCTCTTATGTCTTAGCCCTATAAAACTCCTTCCCTTCTGTTCCTGTAGTAAGACAGAGTTTTTGCTCTCCCATCTTCTTGCTTTGGTTAATTTGAATAAGCCTTTCTCTATCTCCAAGCACTGGTGTTTCAGTGTTTTGCTTTTGCTGTGCATCGGGTATTCATTCGGGTTCTAGCAACACTGTCAATATCTAGTGAAGAAATTCAACCCTAGGTAGATACCCTATAGAAATGGGTGATTATGGGGCTGGCCCGGTGGCACACTGCTACAGTGCACCGCTTGAGAGCATGGTGGCGCTCCCGCCGAGGGTTCGGATCCCACGTACAGACCGGTTCCTGCTCACTGGCTGAGCGAGGTGTGGGGGCAACACCGAGGGTTGCGATCCCGTTGCCGGTCCCGGTCCAGTACGGGCGCGACACTGAGGGTTGCGATCCATTGCCGGACACGAAAAAAGACAAAAAGGAAAAAAAAAAAAAAAGAAATGGGTGATTATATACACCGGGATATATGTTGTCATAGGCTGAATAATAGCCCCTCAAAGATGACAAAGTCCTAAGCCCCAGAACCTGAGAATATGCTACCTTAGAAGTGATTTGGTAGATTGTGGTTAAGTCAAGAGTCTTGGGATGAGAAGATTGTCCTGGACTGTCAGGGTGCCCAACGTTATTACAGGTGTCTTTATAAGAAGGAGACAGAGGGAGATTTGACTACAGGAGAAGGTGAGGTGATGAAAGAAGCAGAGATTTTATCATGCAGCCACAAGCCAAGGAATGCCAGCAGCCTCTAGAAGCTGAAAGAGGCAAGCGATATAATTCTTTGGAACTTCAGGGGAACACAACCCTGCTGACTCATTTTAAATTTCTGATCTCCAGAACCGTAAGACAATAAATTTGTGTTGTTTTAAGCCACCTAGTTTGTGGTAAGTTTTTACAGTAGCAAGAGGAAACTAATATAAATGTTAACAATATTTATATCAACACTGTGATAGCTAAAGCTGGAAACAACTCAAATGCTCAGCAAACGTAGAATGGACAAGTAAATTGTTGTATATTCATACAATAGAATGCTGTATAGCATTGAATGTGTATTAATTAGAGCTGCAGTTGAACTTTGAACAACTGGGGGGTTAGAGGTGCTGACTACCCCCACCTCCACCCCATCTCACACTTCCCTGACTATCTCTGTATAAGTTTTGACTCCCCCCAAACTTAACCACTTAACTACTGCGTAAGTGCATTGGCTCCCCCCTCCCCCACTCCAAACTGTGCACTTAGGGTGAGGTGGCAGGGGCACCAGTGTCAAGTTAGTTTAGTAATTAAATACTAAACTATTAATAATAGCCACTGTTAGGCTACTTAACTGTTTGGTTAGGTATGCGGTGCGTTTATGACATATCTAACACCAAATTTTTCAATATATTTATTGAAAAAAATCCACGTTAGGAGTAGACCCATGTAGTTCAAAGCCCTATTGTTCAAGGATTTGCTGTATATGAAAAAACACGGATGAGTTCTAAATATGTATTATTGCTCAAAAGATACTACACATAAAATAAAACTTACTGGATGATTCTGTTTATATAAAGTTCAAACATAGACTAGCCATAAAATTTAGTGCAACAGTCAGCCTGACGCTTCCCTTAAGAAGGTAAGCCATTATCTGCAACAAGGTAAGAAACTCTGCAAATTGTTTTTGTATAGGTTCACTACTTAAATAGTGAACCTATATAAAAACAAACAAAAAAGCATTTATCATGAAGGTGAAGTCAAGATGGTTGTGAATGGTGCTCATGGGGGTGGAGGTAGTTCTGGGTGTTTACGACTTTCTGTTTCTTGAATTTCACTGTGGTTACCTGTTTGTTCACTTTGTAACAATACCTTAAAATTTTTTGCCATATGCATTATTATGTATATGTGTTGTATTCTGTAAAAATTCTCCCATTAAAAAAAATGAAGGCAAAAAGAAGCAAGCATGATTTCTAAGCAGGAGATTTGCAGACTTTCTATCTTACCTTGTTGCAGATAATGGCTTACCTTCTTAAGGGGAAGTATCAGGCTGACTCTTGGCATTTGCTTTGTATGAAAAAGAAAAATCACTACATGGTGATTCTCAGGCCTTCTGTAGGGGCTTTTCCACAGATGTGTGTTCTCTATCAGATGAGATCACTGAGGCAGTTGTCAGAGCACTCAATAAATCTTGAGGTACACTCTGATACCAGACCAATTCCTTATATTTCCTTCTATTTGCGGGCAGGGCCTATGTCTGTTTTATTCACCACTGTGTGCATGGTGTCTAGCGCATAGCAGGCTCTCAAATATTTCCTGTTGACTAACTTTTCTGTGTACCAAGATCTGGCCAACCTGCTTCCCTCCATTTGTTACTTCCCGTAGCCTGACCAGGGTCCCAGGAAAGATATGATGTTTTCTGTTTTCTTCCTTATTCTTGAAAGAAACATGCTGCTGTAAGGTGTGGTTTGTTATAGGTTAGATTCCCTGAGACTCAGACCATGAGAAAAGGATTTGCAATTCATTTGGGAGGTGATCCCAGGAAACACTGGTAAGGGAGCAAGGAATTGAGATAAGGAATTGAAGTCAGCCCATTACAGCATTTTTGTATTTTAGCAAAATAACACCATGTGTACCTGGAGTTTGATCCCTCGGTGGTATTCCACCCGATGGTTGAGGGAACTCAGATATTTATACACCAACTCTTATCAGTTATGTGTTTAGGGCTGTGTCCAGGAGTGTGTTGTTTTCCTAACTCTTCTAGCGTGCCTTGCACAGTGGGGCAAAGCTTGCTCTGGTGGCCAGAAGAAGACCCTGAAATAGGCACATGCCAACATGCCAACAGGAAGTCAGGCCCGCATGCACTAAAGTGGTAAGAACAAGGGGGAAAAAACATTAATAAATGTAATGTGGAGCTAAGACAAATAGAATGGTGCCTCATGGCCTGTAGGCTCCTGCTCCTGCTGCCAGGCCTTGTTTTTGACTTAAAACAAGGCTGGGCCTTGTCTTGTACTTCTTTTAATCGCTGGTTTACTTTTTCCCTATCTCTTTTGCACTCAGTGTGTAGACATGATGAAGGTTACTACAGGTGCTGATGATAGATTTGGCTTTGCCAGAAAGATTTATTTTCGCAAATTTCAGACTGTTCCTCTGTCTTCCCAAAGGTACCTTCTAGCTCTAAAATTCTATGATTCTAGGATAGGTACCATGACTCTAATAACAATAAGGCCAAAATGAATATAGTGCCTAAGATTAGAAGTTGTTATAGATGCCATAACATATGGACTCTAAAAACTAAGAAGATTAATTCGATTATATTAATAAGATTCAGAGTAAGTTTATGCTTATCGATTCTAAAGACCTTCTCTTGCTATTGGAAAATTTTGTATTCCAGATGAACTTCCATTCTTACATTTAGGTATAGATCCTAAAAGACAAACTTTGAAAGGTATTAGAAATACATTATTGAATATGTTAACTGATGATTGTGTTAATAAGTAAAAAGAAACAATAGGATTTTCTTTGATAATTTCATTTTTAGCTATTTATTAATATAAAATGCATTTTACCCAGTTTTTCTTTTCCATCGGTTTGAATTATAATTAAAATATATTAAATTTCTTCACATTTAATCATACAATTCCACCCCCAAAATGCTCAGCCAAATGCAGAACTTATCTGGGCATTACATTTGCCAGGGTGTATACTGAATGTTTTGCTTTATTCCTCCTTAAGACATTAAGAATAAAAGTTATATGAAATAGGTATTAGTTCTCTTTTTTTAAATTAAAAAATAAGGTCCAAAAACACTCTACCAAAATTCCTGCATCTTTTTAGGGTGAAATCAAGTGAATAGTTTTTTTCGTTTTTTAGGTTTTTTTGATGATCCATTCAGCAAAAGTTCCCACTGGGTGTTGCATCCTTTTCTTGAAGCTGATTATGTGGTGCAGTCCACGGTCTGCCTTGATTTCATCAATTCTCTTTTCAGATGTTCAAAGCACACAAACATTATGACATTCCAGGATGCAAGTCTCAAGAAGGAAGGTACAAATCTAGAAAAGCACGCGTCATCATTTCTGTTAGTTTGTTTGAAATTCTTAAAGCTATTACAGTACAGGGAGTTTATGCTTCTCATATTGCCGCTCCTCTCAGATGAAGATGCTTAAGAGTACCTTACCTATTCTTCATCTTTCCCTCCTCTGCCAAAAGTAGTTTGCTGTAGGTGTTCTATACTGCTTCCAAACAACAAAACCCTAATGCTCGCATCTATCCAAATACATAAACATCCTTCACTCCCACCAAACCAAAGCACGCCTCCTCCTTTCTAACATGGCCTTCCTCAAAAACCCTTTTCTTCTTTTATGAGGGAAGGGGAAATTTTTGTTTTGTTTTGCTTTGCTTTCTGAATGAGAGGTAGGAGACTATTAAAAGAAGAAAGAAGAGAAAGCAAAGAAGAAATGATGAGTAAGTGGACCGTGTTCCAGAGTCAAGAAATCAGTGCTGCCTCCATCTCGGCAACTCTTGTCTTTAGAGAAACTGTCAGGGGTTTAACTGGTCTTTGTTTTGTTTTAGAGTTTTTGGCTCTTTTAAAGCCTCCTGCCCAAACTCTGCAGACCAGACGATTGATTTTGAATACCTATCTGCAGCAATGAAATGTTGCAGGAGAAGAAGATGTCATCAGTTAAATCTGCCCTGGATAAATTTTAAAAAGAAATCTGGCCTATAAAAAACTTGCAAATAATTTGTTTTCAGATATCTTAACCTATTTCTTTTGATTCCCAGAAGTGTGTGGGTTTTTTATTGTGAAAAAATATAAGTAATGTAAAATTTACCATTTTAACCATTTTAAATGTACAATTCAGTAACATTAAGTACATTCACATTATATGCAATTATCACCACCATCCATCTCCAGAACCTTTGTGTCACCCCAACCAGAAAAAATAATTCCCATTTCCCCTTACCTCCAGCCCCTGGCAACTTTTATTTTACTTTCTGTTTCTATGAATTAACCTCACTAGTAGTGGAATCATACAGTATTTGACTTTGCATGTATGGCTTATTTTACTTAGCAGGTTCATCCGTACTTGGTATGTTTCTCCCCAAATATTTTTAAATTTTTATAAAATAAATTGGTAAATGGTTAATGGTTAGTAACTGGCATATCCATTTTCAGTTAATTTCACAGTGCATTCCATTTTTATTAGTGTGTCATAAGTGCACATTATGGAGAACTTTTTGTATAATGTGTATGGTGCATTCATATTTATTTTATAAGGTTTGAGGCATTGCCTTACAGTTTTAAAGAGTTATGAAATGTTATTATTTTACCATTAGTATAATCCTTTTTGAGTATGTCCATAAATTAGTTCCTACTATATTTTCTTAGGAAAGCAGTTTCCGATATAATATAATACCGCATTATGGGAAAATGTGACCTATTACACAGTACTAGTTTCTATGTGGGTGAAATAATTACCCAAACCACATAATTTTGTGCATTACTTTCTAGATTGGTGGCAATGACTTTTCTCTGGTTTTGCTTTAATACAGTTTTAAAAATAGAATCCATCAAATTAAAATTGTGAAAATTAAATCTTGTTTTCTCACAGTCCTCTATTATGCTTTCCCTCCACTTCAGAGTACTCCTGCCCAGAGAAGGCAAAATACTGTCTACATTTCCAATAGATTGGGACTAAGGGAAAGNCTTTTATGAGGGAAGGGGAAATTTTTGTTTTGTTTTGCTTTGCTTTCTGAATGAGAGGTAGGAGACTATTAAAAGAAGAAAGAAGAGAAAGCAAAGAAGAAATGATGAGTAAGTGGACCGTGTTCCAGAGTCAAGAAATCAGTGCTGCCTCGATCTCGGCAACTCTTGTCTTTAGAGAAACTGTCAGGGGTTTAACTGGTCTTTGTTTTGTTTTAGAGTTTTTGGCTCTTTTAAAGCCTCCTGCCCAAACTCTGCAGACCAGACGATTGATTTTGAATACCTATTTGCAGCAATGAAATGTTGCAGGAGAAGAAGATGTCATCAGTTATATCTGCCCTGGATAAATTTTAAAAAGAAATCTGGCCTATAAAAAACTTGCAAAGAATTTGTTTTCAGATATCTTAACCTATTTCTTTTGATTCCCAGAAGTGTGTGGGTTTTTTATTGTGAAAAAATATAAGTAATGTAAAATTTACCATTTTAACCATTTTAAATGTACAATTCAGTAACATTAAGTACATTCACATTATATGCAATTATCACCACCATCCATCTCCAGAACCTTTGTGTCACCCCAACCAGAAAAAATAATTCCCATTTCCCCTTACCTCCAGCCCCTGGCAACTTTTATTTTACTTTCTGTTTCTATGAATTAACCTCACTAGTAGTGGAATCATACAGTATTTGACTTTGCATGTATGGCTTATTTTACTTAGCAGGTTCATCCGTACTTGGTATGTTTCTCCCCAAATATTTTTAAATTTTTATAAAATAAATTGGTAAATGGTTAATGGTTAGTAACTGGCATATCCATTTTCAGTTAATTTCACAGTGCATTCCATTTTTATTAGTGTGTCATAAGTGCACATTATGGAGAACTTTTTGTATAATGTGTATGGTGCATTCATATTTATTTTATAAGGTTTGAGGCATTGCCTTACAGTTTTAAAGAGTTATGAAATGTTATTATTTTACCATTAGTATAATCCTTTTTGAGTATGTCCATAAATTAGTTCCTACTATATTTTCTTAGGAAAGCAGTTTCCGATATAATATAATACCGCATTATGGGAAAATGTGACCTATTACACAGTACTAGTTTCTATGTGGGTGAAATAATTACCCAAACCACATAATTTTGTGCATTACTTTCTAGATTGGTGGCAATGACTTTTCTCTGGTTTTGCTTTAATACAGTTTTAAAAATAGAATCCATCAAATTAAAATTGTGAAAATCAAATCTTGTTTTCTCACAGTCCTCTATTATGCTTTCCCTCCACTTCAGAGTTTCTCTGGTTTTGCTTTAATACAGTTTTAAAAATAGAATCCATCAAATTAAAATTGTGAAAATTAAATCTTGTTTTCTCACAGTCCTCTATTATGCTTTCCCTCCACTTCAGAGTACTCCTGCCCAGAGAAGGCAAAATACTGTCTACATTTCCAATAGATTGGGACTAAGGGAAAGGGCACTGATTTCACATGACCCTCTGATGCAGGTTGAGAAAATTTTAATACCATAGCTTTTTATATTCTGGCACAGTGGAATTGGTGGATTGGAGAAACTTGTGGCAAGGAAAAGTTGATACTAAGTATACTGCATATGTTAAGCCTGGTAAGCTAAATGTCCATTGTTTAGACAAGACTGACACAAAGCATACAAACACCCTGAACACAACATTATAGATACAGAGGATCATGTCCTACCCTTTGAAAAAAGCCGTCGGCCCTTCCTTAGTGAACATTGCCATCGCACAGTTGGGCACACTTGTATACTGTCCCGGTGAAGAATTGACAAATCTGGTTTTTACCACATCCACTGGAGAAGACAGAAGTGTTGTGCAAAATCCAGCAATAAGAGCCGACACAAAGTGGCAGGGTAGGTCATCTAAAATGGATCAATCAAACAGGTCAATGCCAGGCTTTTGGGGGGGCTTTTCAGTTATATGTCAGATCCTTATAAACCTGTTGATAATAAGAGGTCAATGTGGATGCCTTATAAAGAAATAAAATATAATAAGATTATACTTGCACTAGAAAAAGATGGCAAATAGTACATGGCACAGTGGATTGTAAACACTTTAGGAAAATAATCTCAGTTTTTTCGGTGCCCTTAGGGCCTGGCATAATGCATCTAATACTTTTTTATTCAAGTCACTGTCCAAGGAGAATTTCAATGTCTTTAAAAACTGTTAGAATATTATTTTTAAGAACCTATCCTATAGTACTACTTTTGGGATAAAACCACTGATGAGCTCTTTATATAACTAGTTCTTTTCAATATAGTACAGGATGGACTTACCTCCTGAATTCTGCTGTATAAAAAAATAAGATTCTAACAAAAGTCCCAAATATTAGTATTAAATGAGAATAATGCTGACATCAGAATACAGTTTCACTTTGTTTTTGTTGCAGCAAAACTGTAATAAAAAAAGTTATTGCAAAAAACATTTGTTGCAGCAAAATTTTTAAACTTAAGGTTTTGGTCTTTTTCTGCTTTCTATAAATTGTATCTAACATTCATAATTACTTAATTTTTAAAACTATTAGAATTAAGGGATTCAGTATAATGTGGCTATAGCAGCTCCAAGATGAAATTATCAAGGTGCAGACCTGTTTGTTACATAAAATAAGAAGTTACCTGCTAGTAGTTTGTTGTTCACAAAGACCCCTTTCATTAGATCATATGTCACTAGCTCTGTACAATTAATAATGACATTTCTCATCAGATTGGGAGTAGTCCCTGGAAAAAAAAGAAAATGTTTAATAATTCTGTTTTATGATAAGGTGTTAATTGGATATATGGGTTTTAATAATTATAAAATCCACCTAGAAGGGGGCCGGCCCGATGGCGCACTGGATAGTGTGCTGCTTGGGAAGCGCGGCGGCGCTCCCGCCCGAGGGTTCGGATCCCACATACAGACCGGTTCCCGCTCACTGGCTGAGCGAGGCGCGGGAGCAACACCGAGGGTT